GAGTAAAGCCAAATGATAGTTGACCTCAAAGAGGAGTCGGGCGAACCAATTCATCCGACACAAACTGCCTCGAAACGAGTCACCGCCCTCTTAGAAAGGTTTCAGCAAGCGTGCAAAGATCATGAGAAGAGAAGAGTTGACATTTGGCACAAGCATGCGCGGAAGGAGAGCGAAATGCAAAGACAACCATTCCTTTCGACCGATTGAAGAAGAGAGTAGCCTTTAAGCCATTACCGTCTCTTCGGTCGTCACCTTCACGACCAAATTGAATGGCAATTGCGCCGAAATGTGATGATTGCCAATCGCCTTTCACCACCCTCGACAACGTGCCAAAGCACCATTTTCATCACCTTCCAAAAAGTGCCAAAAATGGCATCGAAACCTCTCGCTTGGTCGCGCAAGTCGACCTTTTCCACAATCACTTTTCCGCCAAAGGTCGAGTTGCCTGGCTCCCCAACAAGCGTTCCCATCCCCATTGAACTGGACTGGACTGGACTGCAGCTTTACATCGCCTCAATGGGCCACATCAGCACTTGTAAATTGTATGGGATGAATGAATCTACGATTGCATTAGAAAAAGACGCAAGATTTCCCATTTCACATTTTCTACTTGCTCAAAGAGACAACAACCTGGCTGGGGGTCTATGCAGAATTGCTAGTTTTATCATTTGTTTCTGCTGTCATCCCACTCGAGCTTGGTGATAGATCCACAAAATTGTTAGGGGGACCTTCATTTCGTATAAAAGTGCATGAATAAGAGATGCTTTGGTCGATCTCATCAGATGAGCACGAATAAATTTCGTTGTAATGCAGCCGGTTAGCCTTTAGATGACATTCGTTTCATATCATTTTGACGCAGTCCACGAGACTTCCTCCCTCGATTCGGGTGAAAACGTGCTCAGCTTTCGTCCATCATTCGATGGACATCATCAGAGATGAGTGTCATTCTTGTAAAAGTCTATACAAAAATTCAGATAGAGCCGGATAGTGTTTTTGCTTTAGTGCTAATGTGAGACTCTTACAAGAATGACGCCCAGCTCTGATGATGTCCATCGAATGATGGAGGAAAGATAAGCCCGTTTTCAAGCAAAACGAGGCAGGAGGTCTCATAGACTGCGTTAACCTGAACATCGTCTAAAATCCAACCGGCTGCAGTAGAACGAGTTGCATCCGTCCTCATCTGGTCAGATCGAGCAAC